GTAGAAGGAGGATCAATTCGGTGACCTGCTCCTGGATAACTCAGGAGTTCAAAGTTCTCTTTCCCATGCTGGCGAAGACGCCTGATTGCCAGCTCGGCATATAAGGAGCTCTTCCACATCCGATCATCCTCCCCTACCACTAAGAGAAAGTGACCTTCTGCTTTTTCAATGGGGATCACGCTAGGAGAATTAGCAGGATTCATTGGGTCATCCAGAGCTTCAAAAATGTCAAATACACCAGAGTCAGAGACACTGACTTTCTTCATATCAAAACGCAGCCCAGGCAGAGTCGTCTCACCATAATGGAGGTCTGCAACTGTATTTGAACTACAGCCAGAGATTGAGACAGCAGCCACCACTTCTGGCAGGAAGGTGATCATGGAGAGTGCTAATTCTGCCCCTTTCCCAGTCCCAATCACTCCAACTCCTGGTCCTTTCACCTTCAGATAAGATAGGGGATGGAGAAGAGAGGAAGAAAGGAATAAAGGAAGCATACATTATAATGGGATTAGCCATTAATTGACTTTGGAGTTGTTTTATTAAAAAAAAGGTTAGGTTAATTATTGATGTAACCTGTTGGAAAGTGACAGTCTGGACCCATGCTTCTCCTCCTGTTTACGGTCTTATTTTTCAGAGACACCAAGAGAGATCAAACCCCACAAAAAATGCAGACACACACAAGGCATACGATCACTCAGTCTTTACTTGGTCCCTACTGCATATGTTAATGCAATTTTTTTCTGATTTTCCTAAAACAGGTAACGGGAAATTCAAGTCTCAGAAAAATAAAGTAACCTCACAAATTACATTTGAAGGATTTGATAAGTAACGCTTGTCTTGTCTTGTCTTTTTCTAGCCTGGAAAGTAAAACTGAAAGCAACATCCTACATTATCAAATTCATTCTTTCAGCTAGTATTCAGCTACTATCATCCTCTCTTAAAACTAATTGCTTTCATGTAAGGAAAAAACCCAAACAAGCCAAACATTTTTATCACCACTGGTCCTGTTTGGAGGATACTCCAGCAGTCACTATCCTACTGATCAGCAATCTTCTAGCTCCAGCATGAATTTAACAGATAGTTTGTGCTGGAAGAAATTCACTCTCCCCAGTCATATACGTAAGCTGTTACTGGGCCTGAGCTTGCCCAGCAGAAACTGATACTCAAATATGAAAAAAAACACAACTACCACCACTTAGGCATAGCTGCTAAATCCTCCCTAGTACCAAGAGGTTTCTCACTGCACTCACCTTTGGGTGACGCTGTAGGAACCTTGCTGCCTCCTCAAAGTACTCAAGTTTTAATTCTTTTAACACCCTAGGAAGATCTTCAAAGTCAAAATATGGCAGAGAAAGAGCAGCAAAACCACGGGTAGCCAGGAGACTGGATCTAAATTCAATCAAGCCTCCTTCATCCCCATACATGTCAATCACTCCTGGAAAGGGACCGTCCCCTATATTAAAGAGAAGAGTTACAGAGGAAAAGTTATCAAACAGGACACAAAAAACTATCTGGTGAAGAGTGAACAACAAAATACAGAATGCTTAGGACATTTGCTATTAATAGTCATATAAGACATTAGCTATTAATAGTAATTATTTTTCCATTTGCACAGCAGAGAGAGAGAACCAGTGCTGTATCCCACTCCAGCTATTGCAAACAAAGAATAGGTCCAAGTCCTTACATTCCTGTAAAAATATATGAAGTTACAGGTTTAGCTTTTTAAAACAAAAAATTAAAAAACCAACAATAACCCCAAAGAAAACAAACAAACCCAACCAAAAATAACAACAACCATTCTAAATGTATTTTTCCATGGTCTTAACCTCTGCCCTCAGACCAATCATACACCAAGTCAGCTATTTTCCCACAAAGTTGCTTCTTAATTAGAAAGTACAAGCTCATGAGTAATGAGGCAAGAACACTGAGCCCTTGAAATAAATTCTAGAAAACTTACGTAAACTCTGGAATAAACTGCATTGAGCAAAACCCAACAAAGATAACCCATTGTTAAAATCAACTGGACTTACTACGTCTCAACATGAGGACTGTAAGCTTTGGCAGGAGAACTGCTCCTGCAGAAGTGATGAGACAGAAGGCTGAACTGAGAGTTGTGTGGGTGTGGTTGCGTGTGCAGGACTGATGTACAGATAAATGTGCACATACATGTATACGATCTGTCCCATCAAACTAAAGAAATAATCAGAACCACAATTTTCAACAGCCGTGCTTTTGCCATCAAGGTCATGTTGTAAAATGTATGCCAAGCCAGGAGATCTTAGGTTAGAAGGCTAAAGATGCTACTTAATGGAGCTTCAAAGACCCCAAGCAAACAATTTTTTTTTCTTTTTTTTTTTTTTTCCCCCGGCCACCAGATGTCACAGCTGATGTGCCTTGATCCAGCTCACTACAACTGTCTCAGCACAAAGAGGACACGCATGTTGCAAGAGTATGTTAACTCTCTGACACTACCTCTATATGCTGAAGAAAAGTTTTCTGGCATTTCAACACATTTGAGAAAAGGAAGTTTTGTATAAGACATGCTAAATGGTGGAAACCTCCCAGATTAAAGCATTAAGAAGTCAGAACAGGACTGAAACATGCCTTTGGGTTCTTACTCATTCAGTTCTGATTTTTTTTCATTGAAGTTCAATATTCTACTTGAGAGAAAATAGGTTGGGATAAATTTATTATAATGCTATGATATGGCAAGAAAATACATATTTAATCATCACTCCTACCTGGAAAGCTTTCTAGCAAGAGCATGTAATCAGAACATAGTCATAGATGAATGTGTTTCACTCTCATGAAGACACCCTTTAACTTGCACAAGGATCCTGGACTGCTTCTCGGAGTGCTTACACATGCCCAAGTATATGGTTCCTGCAGAACTCACTAAAAAGCAGGATAAAGTGGGCTAGAAAACTTTACCAACATTTAAAAACAAACCTCTACATCTGTAACTCTTATTCCTGAATTGAGAAATCACTTTCATATTAAAATTACATCAGAAGACCACTCATGTCCTCTCACTTTTAATAAGAATGGTTGACATTTAAGATTCCTATCTTAAAAATATTAAATTTTTTTTTGTCCCTGGAGCAAAGAAGTGTATGATCATAATGCTGTAACTGGATCCTCCATCATGATGGATGTCAATATAATTTAAGCAATGATTCCAGACTTTTCAACACTATTACATTGCCAGACTTTCTAAAGGGGAAATTGCAGTTTCATCTTGCATATGTCTGGGTTCCCACTGAGCTCAGCAGAAATCAAACTCATCCTTTAAGGCAGGATAGATCAAAACAATGTCTTAGAGATGGAAAATCCAGCATGCTGACTAAACATCTGAAATTCAAAGTTCAATCTCTGTTGTTTTTTTCCTCAGTGGACTTTGGATCCATATCTAAATGGATAAAATTCATTGGTTTGGAATGAAAATACTTAAATACTAAACTGTAGTGATACTTACAGGAATTGCTGAACCAAGTAGTATTAAATTAGAGGTAATGTGGAGGGCAGTACCCACAACACTCAGGGAACTACAAGAAGTCTAATTCATAGCTCCAGTGTACAAACACAATCACTGGTGTAAGGTTTCATTTTCCATCACCACTCACAGACCATCAGAATATCACACCTCATAAAGCACAACTATCTCATAAGCAGAACAGGCAGAACTTGCTCATAAATCTATTTTGGTTTTATACCACAAAGTAACCCAACTACTAACTGTAATCACTCTGTAGAAACAGAGATGAGATACATGTATTTTTTAGAATTTCAGCTGCTACTCTGCTTCCTGGCTTGTGTTTCAAAGGGAAGAAAAATACCTTTTTAATTCAGTCCTACTTAGGGTAAAATCCTTGGGACATTCAGTACAGGCTCACACAATGAAGCGCATCAGCTTTTCTGAATGTTAGATTCCGGTACTCCAGAGCAAACATCAAACCTACTGAAAAACCACAGGCCGAGCACAGCAACGAAGTAAACTCGATCACCCCTGTTCTCCTTTAGCTCCGGCCCATCCCGCAAGAGCCGCGTCCCCGTGCCCGCCCTGTCGCGACAAGCACTTGGGATATCTTCTGAAGAGTTCAGGGCAACTTGTGTGCAGGGCAGCGTTTGGCTGTTAGGGAATGCAGATTCCCCGGGTGACAGCCTCTGCAAGGGTTTATTTTACGAGACTTTCCTTGCTCTGGTCAGAGAAGGCGGGGGGTCCCGCCGGCCTCGGGACGAAGGTCTCGGGCCGAGGCACTCACCCGGCGGCAGGAAAAGGGAGCCCCTTACGACTCCTTCCTTCAGCCGGATCCTCCGCACGCCGGGGGCCGTGAACAACCTCTGCACCTCGGCCTTGGCTACCACGGGCCCGGGCATGGAGCCGGGCGGGCTGTGGCCCTCGTGGACGAACACCTCCACCTTCATCGGGAGGCTGGTGTTGCGGGGAACGAGCCGCTGGTACGGCTTCTCCATGCCGGCGGGGGCCAGGCTCCAAAAGAGCCCCATGGGCTCCACGCCGGTGTAGTCCCCGCCGTGGGAGGCGTCCGTGCCCAGGTGCAGCTCCCCGCGGCTGTCCGCCCGGTAATGCGCGCGCGACTGGAAGAGGCAGCCGCGGTCATCGGCCGCCACGGCCCGCAGGGTCACCGGCTGCCCCGGGCTCAGCCCCGCCACCCGCGTCTCTACCCGCTCGTCCGCCGGCCCGGCGGTGGGGGACACGGCCAGGCTAGCAGCCCGCCGGGCCGGCGGGGCGCGCAGCAGGGCCCGTGCCGGGGCGGCGGCGGCGGCGGCCAGCGCTCTCCACATGGCGGCGGCAGTGGCGGGTGCGCGGTGCGGCCGCGCCGCCTGCAATATCGGTCCCGCGGCCGCCGCCCCTTCCAGGCGTCCCCAATGGAGAGCAGAGCCCCTCCCCGCCCCTCAGCCCCGAAAGGCAGCCAGCGGCGGGCCGCTCCCGCCTCCCCCAAACCATCCAACCGACTGGAGCAGCGAGCCGCGGGCAGCGGTTAAAGTTTCACTTTTATCCATTACAGTACGGTGGATACAAAACGCTCAAACGGGCCTGACGCACAGGCGAGGTCGGGCTGCAGGCACTGGTGGGTACAACGTGTTCGGACACACAGTGCAAATGCACGGCAACTCCCAGCGTCTGCTCCTTCAACCCCACGCTTGGGTGCACAAAGTTACTGCCGATCGCGCGGGGCTGAGCGCTCGCCCCGCTGCGCAGAGAGCAGCGGGCGGGCGGCCGGAGCCCCGCCCCGCCACAGCGGGCCGGCCGCCTCACGGAGCCGCCGTGCCAGCGCCGCAGCCGGGCTGCTCTCAGCAGCCCTTAGCAGCAGGCAGCTGAGGCGGCATCTGGGCAATGTACAGGCAGGGAGCTCTAACAGTGCTGCGGATCTCCACAGCGATTCCCAGCCGTGCTGAGGTGACACCCGGGAGCGACTCCAGCATACCTAACAGGACCTGTTCTGTTGCTTCTTCACGTTTATGAACTTCCACAGACTGTTTAAATGTCTCATTTCTTCAGCATGCTCTCTGAACATCATATCAAGCTATGGGCTGTTTGTTGCCTACAAATGTGAAGTGTTACCTGAGGGTGCTGGCACAGTCGTACTGATTTTGGTAAGTGAAATATTACATATTTCTAAGGCAGTGGCACAGTAGTACTGCTTTTGGTAAGTGAAATATTAGATATTTTTAAGGCAGATGCATTTTAGTGGTTTCAGAGAAGGGCAAGGAGCAACAAAGGAGGGAGAAGTGCACAGGGAGAACAGAAAGATTACTGGAGGTAGATTACTGCTTCCAGAAAAACTGGAATACTGGAACTAGAACACAAAGCTGGGCAATGGTATACATCTCCTCTGAGAAGGCCAAGGCATGTTTTCATCCTGGTTCCTAGCTTGGAAAAGTTACCTACCACTTTAATTCACACCCAAAGCACACAGCCTTACCACCATTTGTTTTCCACAGCTTATAACCCTGTACTACCTAAAAGAAGAGGCCAAGGCCTCTAACCAAGATTAGAGGAGGGTGTAAAAAGGAAGCTGCTCTTGCTTTCACCCACCATCATCCTTCAAGAAACCTAATAGCTTATTCTCTGATGTTCCTTGTTGTGGTGAGGGCTGGTCCTGGATGGACGAGAGATCTCTAAGTCAGGTCTTAGGATATATGGTTTGTTGTGGGGCCCTGCTTGGAGCTGCTAGCTGCAGCGAGAGAGAGTTCCAAGAGAGGGTCCAAGAGGGCAGAGAGAAGGGGTGGGAGAGAGAGCCCTGGTCTCCCGGGTACACCTTATCAAGGGGGCTTCGGTGTGGAATAACACTTTGGACCAATGGGATTACAGATACATGATATTTCAGGGGAGGGTTACAGGTGCGGAATAAACTATACATTTTTGAGGGTTGAGACAGAACATTTTATCTGACCCTTGGATCTGTCTGTGGGTCAAAAAAGGGAGTTACCTTCCACTAGCTATACCACTGTTCCCCAGTTGCTTCGCAACCAAGGACCAAAATCTAAAGCTTGTTCTCATCTCAATTTCACTCACAGTCTCTGTATTCTCCAAATCCTTTGCCAGGCAATCATATTTATAAGGCTTTCTCATTTGATCTTTCCCTACACCTTGTTCTCATTCTGAGCCATTTAATAAAACATTTAACAAAACCAGCATCTTCATTTGTAAAGTAGCCTAATTCGTATCAGAGCTTACTGGATGTTCCAGATGGCTTGCCTGTGAGGTGTTTACGAAAGAAAGCTTGGATCTGCTGCCAGGCATCTATCTGTGCCTCACAGTGTGCCTTGGGCTCCCCTCCCCACATCACAGGCTTGCCAAGTAGCGAGTGCATTGAGGCTGCACACATTGGGAAAAAGGGAGGTTCAATGTAGTGTCCTGCTCCAGGATAACAGACTATCTCAGGCTTTTCTTTCCCATGTGCTTGCAAACGTTTGCTCCCCTCAACTGCAAAGAATTCACTTTTCCAGTTGTGATCATCCTGGCCAACAATGAACAAGAAGCAACACTCAGCCTTCTCCAAAGGGATAAAGCTTTGCTGGTCAGGCCCTTCCAGTGGGCTGTTCAATGCATCAATAATATCAGCAATCCCGGACTTGCCGACCTTGATGCGTTTTGGATTGATACCAAGGGGTGGAATGATGATGTCCTTGTAGCGGAGCACCGCACCCACATTTGCCACCGAGCCATTGATAAGGGCAGTGGCTGTGATGCCCTTTAGGAAGGAGGCCATAGAGACACATAGGTCACCCCCCTTTGAATGTCCAAGCAAACCAATTCCTGGACCTTTAACCTGGAGGTGAGACAAGAGAAACCACAATCAATGAACCATGGCATGCCGCTTCTTTAATATGATGCTGTGTTTGCAGCTCTGTCTGTCCCAAATTTGGACCCCACATACAGACATCTGAGGTCCTGTGTGCAGGGCCCATGTCTGAGGGATCCTAGGCACTATTCTGTGCTTGATTTATGATGCTATGCCCTACTGAGACTGTGGCATCTTCCTAACAAAGCTACAAGGTTGAGTGCTGAAGCGGAGTACAGCTGTGCTTGCAAACGTGCAGTCTCAGATTACAATGGAGTTGAGAGAAGAAGAGGGAAAGAACAGGGAGGCCTCCTCTGCAGTTGCTTTCTTTCAGTGCAAAGTGCTCAAAGTCAGCAATGACTATGCTGTTGTCATCACTTACGTTAATGTATTTCTTATATTCAAGGTTCCCCTATTAAGAAGCTGATGTGGGGTAGCAGGCTCCACATGAGCTGCTCTTCCATTTCTCTAGAATGTTTGGTATCTAACTCACAGGAAATAGTCTGAGGTAGCTTATTCATTAAAATTTATCTTCAAAATATAACCTATTAAAACCATTTGTCTAGAAAAATTTTACAGTCCCCTGGCGTCAATCTAGACTAGGTTACCTTCATTTTCTTTTACACAAGGCAAATTGACTAGAAAAGGAATTACTTACTGGGTGCTGAAATCCTGTAAGGATACTGGAAGAAGGTTAGCTAATACCACAACTCTTCAATATCCAAAGACTCTCAGGGGCAAATAGGCTCTGAGACAGCATCAGAATCTAACACCTTCTGTGTCTTATCACCAGTCTAACAGGCTTCAAACCCACTGACTTTGAAATCTGGGAAGGGGGAAATTAGAAAATATGGCTGAAACTTTGCAACACATTAAAAACACATGAAGGTGTTAATGGGAGGCAATGGTACTGTACTGCTCTCAAGGAGAAAAAATGCAGGGGGAAGCAATTTTCAGATTTTTTTTGGGCGGAGAGGTGGCATGAGCAGTTAAGGTTAAGGTGACTAAAAAGCAGTCAAGACCTTTAACAACTACTCATCTTTCTGAGGTTGAGGAAGGTTTTTATTATCCTTCTCTAGAGAAACCAAGTGTTGGTTTTTTGCAATTCTAGCTACTTTCACTCACAGCTACTTATAAAGAGATGCAGAATTGAGTAGGGTTCTCTTCCAAGAGGTGCTGAATTAGAAGGATCCCTATGTGCACAATTAGCTACTAAAACCCACACTTATGAAATACTAATATTTGGAGTGATTTTAACAGCTTATAAAATACACAGCATCAAATGTGTATTGGTAGACTTCCTTGAGTTTCCTTGGTTTCCCTGAGAACTGGATCACAAAAAGCTATCATATGCTCCACAGCTGAAAAGGACATTTAGTTCTGAAGGACATTCTACAGAGCATAAATCTAAAATCCCCACTGCAAGTCCAGTAAACCTCCAGGAAACTAGTACCCTAGTTATGACACTGGGTTGAATGGAGTAGAAATGTGACCAACGTGTCACTGTTTCACTTGGCCAGTTCAAAAGGAAGAGCTGGAATAGTCTGCCAGAGAGCCATTGTAGTGGGAGTTAAAGATATAAAACAGTAACAGCCAACTTAACAGAGATGTTATTTTAAGTTCAGCAGCTCTGCCCCAGCTATAGTCTGACAGGAACCTAACTTATCAGAGTTCACTGTAGTGAGAGTCAATGAACAAACCAACCTGGGTGTGTTGTAACATATAGTTTACAGCTTCTTCAAAATATTCCAGATGGAATTCCTTCATCGCTTTGGGGAGATCTTCATAGCTGTAGAAAGCCAGAGCCAGCACAGCGAAGCCGTGGTTGGCCAGCAGGCATGCCCTGTATTCAGGGAGTCCTCCTCCAGCTCCATACAAGTCAATAATTCCTGGAAAGGGGCCACTTCCTGAGAGAGACCACATAACAGGACACATTAACCCACAATTTTTAATTTATATTCCAAATTCATAGGCCTGGAAATGTGTTTTAAAAAAAACTACAGCAGCAGGATGGTATTAAGGGTCCTAAATTACTGTGACAGTTTTAATGAAATGGCTACATTGCTTCAAGATTAAACAAACTAGCACAAATTAGCAGGTCTACTAATTTTAGATAACATGTTTTAGATAACATCAGGAAACAGGCAGCTGAAAGAGAAGGGATCTTTTGACAGTCATAATTAGTACTCTGTATCATGTAAATTCACTGCAAATGTATTAAGCTCTGCTTCAAAAATACCCAGCAGGCTTCTCCTTAGTGCATTTCTCAGATGGCTGAACCAAAAAATGTGGGACTCAGATTCAGTCAAAGAAAGAAACTGAGAGTTTCTAGCCAGGCAGAAGCCTGGGAAAGAGCTGGAGAAGAATGTAAATAATTCTTAATCTCTCTTGTTTTTCACGTTGTTTATAGTTAAGTTCTATCACTCTGCGTCAAGCACTTTGCACCAATGCTGTGGATTGTTTTCACTTCAGAACCAATGGAGTTGGTCTTCACGAAGCTCTGTATAAAAGAGCAGTGTATTTTGAATAAATCGGAGTTTACTCTCACAGCCTTCTGGTCAGTCTTCTCATTGCCGTCCTGCCTCGACAATGACAATTTCAGCGTAATGCACTTCAGTCATTTATTCTGGGATTAAAAGAAGAAAGTATTTGAAACCAGCCTTGCTTACCTGGTAAGGGAAGCATTAAGTTAGGTTCATCATGGGAAAGGGACTGAAGTCCAGAGCTGAGAAGGATTGCTGCAAAGTACTAACCAAGTATGGAAAGGAGGAGGCCAAGAGGGAGACTTCCATTCCTGCTCTGGAGAGAGGGTGAGGTTTCCCTCAGGTGTCTGCAGACTAACATCAAATGTTTTTAACAAGCAAGAACAAGAAATTCACCACCAGCCTCAAGGAAACAGATCAAGTCAGAGCCCAGGGCACTGGCTGGCACAGCACATATGATTTTAGCACTGTCATGAAAGAGTTATCTGGGACAGGCAGGAAAGAAAGGGGAGAGGGGAAGGCACATGATACATAGAAGAGCTCCTTGGGGTTCCAGGGACATGCTTGGTGAAAACCTATGTATCACGAGCAGAAGGAAAGGTAGGATGTGCTGGGGGTGTGGCTATTACAGAACCAAGGGAATGCAAGACATGAGGTTTCCTACAGAAAGCTATCAGAAATCTCGACATCTGATGGAAGGACAATCCAGCATTTGTCAGGCAATCTGAAAACCTCACAGGCCCTTTTCATTATTCTCTGACAAAAATACTGCCAGGGCAAGTCTCTCCAATGTTTTCCTTGACCTGCACACAAGCAGGGAAGAACTGGGGACAAATGTGGCAGCAAAATGTGGTAGCAACTTGGGCTACAGCAATTAGGACATTACAAAGTTCAGGATGTGTGGAAAGGCTGGAAAGGGAAGCCACAGACTTAAACTCCACAGTTTAGGAAAGCATCTTCCACTTACTCAAAAGAATTACCACCTGATTTTCCTAGAAAGCAGCCAGATAGAGGAAAGGTGCCTTGAAAACTGTCTGACTTCACCTCCCATGGCATTTGGGAACAAAAAGTGTACTGCGATCAATGCCTTCATGTCCAATAGAAGTCAGTTAAACAGACACACGTGCTTCACCACATGAGGCTGCTCTGTGTGAGGAGCAGGACCAGCAGACCCAAGCTGGTCGGGCCGATCAGGCCACGCCTTGAGAAGTGTCCAGTCCCTACAGGTGAGACGCATCTCCCCCTTGTCCTCTGCCTGGTACGGGGCGCCAGAGGAGCCTGGAGGCGGTCTGGCTCCGGGCCTGCGACTGCGGGGCCAAAAGTAGAGGCAGCAATGTGGGGGAAGGAGCCCGGCACGGCCGGTACTCACCAGTGGGCAGGAAAAGCGTCGCCCGGATCCTCCCTTCTCGCACCGGGACTCTCCGCACCCCGTCCCGCAGGAACGCCCGCTCGTGCTGCGCCTGGGCCAGGAGCCGCCCGCGGCGCTCCCCGTGGCCCTCAAACACCTCCAGCTGCAGGAGGAAGGGGCTCTGCACGTCCCGCTTTACCAGCCGCCAGAAAGGCTTCTGGGGCTGCATAGCCCAGAGCAGCCCCATGGGCTCCAGGCCGGAGAAGCTGCCTCCCGGCAGCGCAGGACAGCGGGCGAGGTCCAGCTCCCCGTCGTCGCCCGCCTGGTAGTGGGCACTGGCCTGGAAGAGCTCTCCGGTCTCGTCCCGCAAGGACGTCCGCAGAGTGACCTGCTGCCGCGGGCCGAGGCCCTGCACGGCGATGGCCAGCGGCTCATCGAAGAGGCTGCGGGCGGCGGGCGACAGGCGGATGGAGGGGGCCACGGAGGAGAGTCCCCGGGCGGGGGCTGTCCCGGGGCTCCACGCGGGGCTGCGGCCCCGTGGGGCTGCGGGCGCGGCGCCGAGCCAGGGCAGCCGCCCCTGCCAGGCGCTGGAGCTGGCCCGGAACAGGGAGCGGGCGCTGACCTGTCCCATAGCTCCGGGTCGCTCCCGCCCCTGGGGGCGGTTTCTCAGGCAGATCCTCGCAGAACTTGGGCCGGGCTCGGGCCTGGAGTGCCGCTGGCACGCCCGGCGGGGTGGAGCGGGACGGCATGTCCCTTGTCCCGCCCGCCTGCTTTCCTCCTGGCTGTCTGCCGGTTTCCGTGCCTCCCTACTTCCCTGCATGCCTGCCTCCTCGCCTCCTCTCCTGTCTTCTCCCCCGCTGCCTTCCCCGGCTGTGGGAGGCTTCATCCAAAGGCTACCGAGTCCTTGAAACCCGTCTGGGCCTCGGCGAGCTCCTCGGTGTCCCCCTGAGCTCTTCCGGGCCGGGCGGGGGCTGCGGGCAGGAGACACGGGGAGAAGACGAGCCACCGAGCAGAATAGCAATCGGAATTCACTGGAGAGGGAAGGGCCTGTGTGGGACAGACCGTACAGAGATGGGACAGGTTTGCACGGCACGGTCGAGCTGTGCCGTGCCACTCAGCCAAGGGACTGCAGCAAGGGCCAGCTCCAGCCGAGGCAGAGAGAAGCCACACCGGTACTTGCTCACCATTGCTTCTTTTCTCCTTGCCGGCTCTGCTTCTCTGTTCGTTATGCCAAGGCATGGGAAAGGTGGGTTATGTCTCCTCCAGGCTCTGCCCAGCCTAGGCAGCCACACAGACAGGTATATTAGGAAGGATGGTCAAGGTGGTCAGGGGTGCAGGAGCAAAAAAAGGAGGAGCACTTTCACAGACTATTTAGGTAGGTCAGGAAACGTGGCTCTTCTAGTAATTGTGCAAGCATTTAAAAAACAGGGTCATTCAGTACATCTTAGGCAGAGATGGATCTTCTGATCCAAAAGGAACTGCAGAGGGAGAGCTGTTTCCTGAAGCTCCCACTCTTCCTGGGAGATGCAGGCAGGGATGCCTCATGCTCTGAGCTCCTCCTCTCTGTCTTAGAGGTGTGGAAGAAGTGGAAACATCTAAGAGAATCTCAAGCATCACCCTAATTGGAAATATTAAGTGGTCAGAGATATCTGGCAATCTTTCATTCACCGTGGAAATTACCCTTTCTCTGCAAACAGGTGAGGTGTTCTGCCATCTGGCATTTGGGTATGTTGTCTGGTGTCTGGCACTGAATGTGTGGCAACTGCTCCTATTGTTGAGAACAACGCTCTGTGCCTTACACTACTGGATTTGATCATGGGCTTGACCATATGCGAGAACAGATGCTAAGGGAAAGGGTCTTGGAGGCTTCAGCAAAATTCCTTCTGCTCCATGCTTGGTGACACAAGAGCTGTGGAAGAAAGTGAAGGTAAGGGGGCTATGTGTCCATCTTCTATGGTCTCCTGTTCCCACTTGGGCAACCTTTGATCCCAAGTTGCTGCAAGCTTTCGTAAGCCTTCACCCTGGGATGAGAAAGTAGTCAAGTTGCAAACCCTACTTCTAACCAAAGCACAGCAAAAGACTCCATGGCTTTTAAATCTCAGTCTCTTTATTACAATTCTCATCCCAGTAACAAAGACTGAAATGTTCCACATCATGTAGGAGAAGATAAAAATGGCTGTAAGTTCAAGAGAAAGTTTTTTGCATGATATCTCAGGGCCAGAAGTATCCACAAGCCAGAGCACTTCCTTCGGAAGAGAAGCTGGAAAGAAGGCACAAAAGGCAAACAACCTTTCCCAAGGCTTCACCAGAGACAGCCCAGCATCCTGGCCATAGCAGCTATTCTTACACACTTTCAGCAGCACAGAAATCAGGGACATTTCCATTGCAATGACACAGTCACCTGAAGAGCAGTGAAATCCCTGCTCCAAAACTGTCATTAGAGACAATTAGTATGACGTGAGGATAGCATATGCATGTAGAAACCACAATGACTTGGAAAGCACTGTCAAGTATTAAAGGAATAGAAACCACCCAAGAAACGTAACTGTGCATTTTGCACATGACCTGTTTTATCAAAGACTAACGCAAAGACCACCATTCCTTTTCTTGACACTTGACAACGAGGTTGAGAGGGGAACAGAAAAGGCAAACCCATTTATTTTCTGTGTTATGGATGTGCAAAGGTATGGAAGATATTGTAGTTGTACTGGTACAGCTGTGACAAGGTTTGACATGATAACTGTAGTAGAATTTATCAGATCTGGTTGTTCAAAGTTGTGTGCTGCTTGCACATTATTTGTTGCACATTAGTTGGCAATTAAATACTTTTTGAAAAATGCCTGGATCTGTGACCAAGCATGAACCTGAGCTTTAGAATAAGCCATGAGCTCCCCACCCAGGACTGCTTGCTTGTGGAAAACGGGGTGGCTTCCTATGTGGTACAAAGGGAAAAAGGGTGGGTCTATGCAGTGCCCTGTTCCAGGGTAGGAGAGAATCTGAAAATTTTCCTTCCCTTGAGCCTGCAGAAGCTTGCAGACTTCAGTAGCATAATACTCACTTTTGACAACCCGGTCATCTTGGCCCACCATGAATAGAAATTGTGCCTCAGCTTTCTCTAGTGGGATCCGGCTTTGGTTGCCAGGGTCTTGAAAGGGATCATCGATGACTTCAGAATAATCAAGAAATTTGGAATTGGTGGCCTTGGCTTTGTGTTCATATAAGGTCACAGTGGGGATGATTTTATCCTTGTAAGAGAAAGGAATACATGTAGCAGCAACAGGGGCATTGATGGAAGCAACAGCCGTGATGTTCTTCAGGAAGGCAGCCATGGCAAGGGACACTTCACCTCCTTTGGAGAAACCGAGCAGGCCAACCCCTGGACCCTTCACCTGGGAGACAGGAGGAAATGCTCATCAGTGCTGAGCTGAAAAGCACAACAGCGGATACATTGAGGGCAAGATTGTCTAATGCTGAGAGTTTACAAAATGACATGAAGAAAGTCATAGCAATGAATCTTTTTCCTTCTGGAAATGACAGGCACACCCTCCCGCACCCCCTATACTTTCTCCTCACATTGTACTTCAAACCACTCGCAATCAGAATGTTCCCTGGTATGCTGAAATCAGCTAGGAGTGGGGGAAATGATTTCATCCATCTGGGGACAGCTTGTAGGTCACAGCTATGAATTATTAGTCTTAGACCCTGGCAGATTCTCTTTACTTTTTACTCTTGAAACTGTAGGAGGACATTTGTTGGCAACTCACGAAGGCTTTCTCCTTCACACACTTCCTACCTGATTACATCTGATCTGTCTCTTGTGATGTTCCTCTGTCTTTCTGTCTCTCTTTCCACCCCTCTTCCAGTGCATATATACTTGCCCCTTCTCTTTCCTACAACTCAGACACCCAAAATCTTTGCAAAGGCCAGCCCTGCCAGGTGAGTATTTCTGCAGCTTCCTCCAAAGATGACTTGGGCAAAGTTAGTGGACTTTACAGAAGCGGTTCCTGGAAGCCAGAGGAAACGGGTGTTCCTACCTGTGGGTGCTGCAGCATATAGTTCACTGCCTCTTCAAAATATTCTAGGTGGAATTCCTTTGGTTCCTGGGGCAGATCATCAAATTGATAATAAGCCAGGGCGAGTGTGGCAAAGCCATGACTGGCCAGCAGGCTTGCTCTGGGCTCAAAAAGACCTCTTCCATATCCATGTATATCAATGATCCCTGGAAAGGTGTCTTCTCCTGGAGCAAACAAGACAAAGATCAGAATTGCCTGAAATTACTCCTTTCAGTGTTTCTCTAGTTTGGAATGCATCAAATGAGGCACCAAAGAGGAACTGCAGAAAAGCATCTTTTGGGGAAAAGACACTATCAGTCAGCTGTGCAGTGTCAGCACCTGAAAAAATTCTAGAATGTGTGGCAGAGGAAAAAAAGTGCACAATCAGAACCTCTTAGGAAAGGTGAAAACCTTTATTTGTTTTAGGAATCAGCGGTACTGTGCATAGTGCTTAGGGTCAACAGGCAGAGAGTCTTTGGTAAAAGAATCTTGTTCTAAATTCTCTTCCTGTAAGCAGCCCTGTAACAACAAGTGCTTCATGTACCACTATAAGAATCCTCAAGGTATCATGGTTTGATAGATGCAATGCAAACTAGAAACGGTAAGATTTTTTTGTTTGTATTGTGGCTTTTTAATATTTGGGATCCTTTGAAAAGCTGTAAGTCACCCAGACCATCACTTTTTTTCTTTTGCTAGTTATGTCTGGCAGCAATCAGTATCAAATTCTGCACAGGATGTCACAGGTATCTCAGTGGGTGATCAGCAGATCAGCAGATCTCTGTTTGGATCTTTCTTGGTCCAGGATGCACTTTTCCTCATTCTGGGAGAATCCTGAACCTGTCCAGCCAGTGCAGGGAGAGAGAATGCTTTGCACGTTGTATTCCTTCAGCCTGATTGGTTTTGGGACTAAAACCTGCAGGAAAGCCTCAGAAGCCACAGACAAGAGAAGGTGACCCTGGACCTGTTGGGGAGTGGAGAAGACCTAGCTCACACCTACTTCTGGCTTGAGGACAGCCACAGGCCTGAGTGGGCTCATGCCTCCCACCCTTCGAGGATGCCTTTCTACCACAGCCTCACACCCTGCACCACAGTGGCCCATGCATCCACAGATAAGGCTGCAGGTGGTAGGTGGGAATGTGCTGTGGGGTGGGTGTCACAGAGATGAGGAGAGCACGAGCACAGCATCTGTTCACTCTCTGCCTTGGATCAAGGAGAGCCCTGCCGTCAAAAGTGGTGCTGTGCTCTTCCTTTTTTTGGCTGTTTGCATGCAAGCAACAGCACATCTACTGGTGCTTCACAGGCTATGAGCACTCAGAGCAGTGGCGGTGTGGCCAGGGGCCAGGAGTGCAGTTGTCTTTGGCCCATGGCTCAGCTGAGTGTGGCAGGGTTCTGTGGACTTGCACTGAACAAGCCCAGAGGAGGTGGTACAGCTGAACGAGGCCATGGGGGTGCTCAAGGGAGGTGCGACAGTACTGTAGCAAAAGTCCTTTGAGCTCTCGGCCTCTACATAGCCTTATGTCATTTGCTGAGGAGTATCCAACCACTGAACCTGAATGTGGAGATGTGTGGTGTAGAGAGCAGGCTCAGGAACTGAAAATCATGATGGGGTATCTCAGTGCAGGACAATTTGAGTGTGTTGAAATCGTGGTTGTGAAACACGTCTCCAAATATAACTAAGAGAAATACTGACTACAGATTGAGTTTACAGTCCTGCTAAATTGAAACTTGTTTGTAGTGGCAGTAGGATAGGGATAAATGCTTTTTATCTGATGCCTAGGAAACAACTCAAAGTGCCTATAAAGCAATTCAAAGTGCCAGGCAATGTGTGGCAAGGGCCACATTTTAAAACACAGGCAAAAGGTGGAGGACAGGGGACTTGGAGGAAATGCATTATAATTTGACTTACTGAAAGTGCCTCAGCTGAGGGGAAGTGGGACATTTTGGATATAGAGGGTATGCAGGTGGCTTCTTCCCTCTCCTAGTCAGCACATGGGGTAGAGGTGAGGCAGGGAAGGGAGTCCTGGCTTAGTTGTGGGTGGGATGCTAAATGTGTGAAATCAGCCTTCCCACACCCTGGACTCTGCCAGGAAAGTCTTGGTGTAGCTAACCAGAAGATGCTGGAGACAGGTGTTGTCTTGGGCAATCCTTACATCTCTGAAAGATGCTCTGCACCTTTTCCAGAGCAATTAGATAATTGTCTTTTCCTGCTTGAAAGATTTATTCCCTGTAAGTGTTCTTGAGCCCCTCCTCTTCCTTTTTTCACAAACTGGTGATAGTCGCCCCAATATGGTGGGCTATGGTCACCAAAGAGTTACTATAATTAGTTGCTGTTTGGGGAGGAGAGAGAACCGAGAACCCTACCAGTGAGTAAGAATCACAGAGCCCTTCCCCACCACTGTATTCTGCAGCTTCTTGTCCAGCAGCTCTCCTGGCACATTCACATTCACTTGCTGTGAATTTATTCATGGCAGTTTTTTGGTTTTCTATTTTCTTTCTTAAACTTCAAGGCCCAGGTAAAAATGGTTATTCCTCTCCCTTCTGCAACTGTGTCCTGGCACATGCATGGGCAGGTGAATTGGAAAGGATGGTCAGACTGGTCAGTGGCATGGGAGGGGGAAGAGAAGGATGGGGGAAAGGACATGGGTCTTTAACAGACTCCTTCACAGAGGTCACGGAACAACTTCCACCAACCAAACACCGGTTTAGAGAGAGCAGGATGGCTGCAGCTGGGACTTACCAGCGGGCAGGAAAAGCGTCGCCCGGATCCTCCCTTCTCGCACCGGGACTCTCCGCACCCCGTCCCGCAGGAACGCCCGCTCGTGCTGCGCCTGGGCCAGGAGCCGCCCGCGGCGCTCCCCGTGGCCCTCAAACGCCTCCAGCTGCAGGAGGAAGGGGCTCTGCACGTCCCGCTTGACGAGCCGCCAGAAAGGCTTCTGGGGCTGCATAGCCCAGAGCAGCCCCATGGGCTCCAGGCCGGAGAAGCTGCCTCCCGGCAGCGCAGGACAGCGGGCGAGGTCCAGCTCCCCGTCGTCGCCCGCCTGGTAGTGGGCACTGGCCTGGAAGAGCTCTCCGGTCTCGTCCCGCAAGGACGTCCGCAGAGTGACCTGCTGCCGCGGGCCGAGGCCCTGCACGGCGATGGCCAGCGGCTCATCGAAGAGGCTGCGGGCGGCGGGCGACAGGCGGATGGAGGGGGCCACGGAGGAGAGTCCCCGGGCGGGGGCTGTCCCGGGGCTCCACGCGGGGCTGCGGCCCCGTGGGGCTGCGGGCGCGGCGCCGAGCCAGGGCAGCCGCCCCTGCCAGGCGCTGGAGCTGGCCCGGCACAGGGAGCGGGCACTGACTTGTCCCATAGCTCCGGAGTTCTTGAGTACACTGCGAGTTGTGTCTGCATTCAGGCTGAGGCTTCTTTTATAAATGCGGTTTCCCAAACACAGGCGGGGGTGGGGGGAATTTAAGCAGGAGGGGTGTGGATCTACACGTACTGGGAGATGCCAGATTTGCCTGGAGCCACTGCTGCCTCCCTGCCAGCACCCACGGCAGGGCGGAATCATCACAGCTGATCCCCTGATACTGATGGAGTATCTCAGCTCAAAGAAGAGAAAGCTCCAGGGACACCTCATTACCACCTTTCAGTACCTGAAGGAGGCCTGTAAAATGGGGACAAATTTGTTAGTTGGGCAGCGGCTTTAAACTAAAAGACAGTTGATACAGATTAGACATCATGTAGAAGTTTTTTGTGGGTAGTAAAACCCTGTCCCAGGTTTTCCAGAGAGGCAGTGGATGTCCCATGCCTGGAAGCATCCAAGACCAGGCTGGACAGGGCTCTGAGCAATCTGATCTAGTTGCTTATTCCAGGGGGGTTGGACTATATGACATTTAAGGTCCCTTTCAACCTGAAATATTCTATGATACTAAGATCTCCAAAAGGCAGCTGCTCTCTCCAGCTGTTGATGCTGTGCTTATCTGCTGTGGTCAAAGTTTTCTACAGCAGGCCTGCTGGACTGGATGCAGACACAGTTGCATCCCTCCTTCCTGGGTTTCTCCTGCAGGCTCTGTTTTTTTCCCCTCAAACTCAGCCAAGCTGCAGGTCTGGGAACATCTCAGGCAGAGGCAGTCCCACGAGCCAGCACTGCTCTCTCGGAATCTCCTGGGTCATGTGGTCTTGCACCTTTTGTGCGTGACAGCACCTAGCATTGCCATGAGCTACACCAAGACTTTGTTCCTCCCTCCCTCCTGCTCTGTCACATTCTAAGCTCAAAGAGCCTTACCCATGCTAGGGCAGGCCCAGAGACGTCAGACAGTGCTGCTGAATCATGCTGAGCGAGGAAGGGCTACAATGGGGACACCAGGTGCTGAAAACGTGACAGGGCTGAGAGGCAGCTTCTGGCTCTTGAGGTTTGCCCTGTGTGCACCAAGCTGGCCTGAAGGACACTTGCAAAATGGAGAAACCCAGGACAACTGGTTCAGCTGGTGAAGGGTGATGGTGTTCACAAAGGAGGTGGCAGCCCTCCAGGTCTGACAGAAATGGTGCTCCCTGGCCCCTGGTTTTGTCCTCACAAAGCAGTTGGGGGTGCTGGTGGCAGTTCATTGTATGCAGATGTTTTGGAGTGAGTGTGACTTTCCTGCTGAGGAGGGCAGGAGGCTCTCAGGGCCTTTCAACCAACAGGGCCCTTGATCTACCCTGGGATGGGAGAGTGGTCAAGATGCAAAACCTGCTTCTAACCAAACAACAAGTGATTACACAGGTTTCAAATTTCAGACTCTTTATTGCAATTCTCACCCCAGTAACCAAGAAGGCAAACAACCTTTTGCAAAGTTTAACCAGAGACAGCCCAGCATCCTGGCCAAAGCAGCCACTCTTACACACTTCCAGCAGCACAGAAGTCAGAGACATTTCCATTGCGATGACGCAGTCACCAGAAGAGCATTTCCATGATGTTCTTCAGGAGGGCAGCCATGGCAAGGGACACTTCACCTCCTTTGGAGAAACTGAGCAGGCCAACCCCTGGACCCTTCACCTGGGAGACAGGAGGAAATGCTCATCAGTGCTGAGCTGAAAAGCACAACAGCTGATACATTGAGGGCAAGATTGTCTAATGCTGAGAGTTTCCAAAATGATATGAAGAAAGTCATAGCAATGAATCCTGTTCCTTCTGGAAATGTCAGGCACCTCCTACAGAAAAATTTTTTCTATTCCATGCAAAACATTCCCTCATCATAGCCAAGAGAGAGCAAGAACAAGGACACCTTTTGAGCTCTGGTTGCAAGAGAAAATAAGATTATTTAGAGCTAAAGTGGGAATGTTTTGATAGTGGGAGGCTGTAAGAAGAGATTGGGGTTTTCCTATATTGGACAGGGACAGTTTTAGCCAGCTCAGAAATGTATATGATGCTGCTCAAAGATGAGGGGGAGGTGTTTTTAATTTTCTTTTTATATCTCTCTGTCTAATCTGTTATTTATTGGCAATGATTTAAATTAATCTTCTCTAAGTTAAGTCTGTTTTGCCCATGATGTTGGGCAAAATATTGATGAATTACTCTCTGTCCTTATCTTGACCTGAAAGGTTTCTCTTCTTAGTTTCTCCACCTCTCTTGTTGCTAAAGAGGATTGAAAGAGTGGCTTGGCAGATATCCAACCAGCCAGCCACTGTTGGCTACCAGTAAAGGATTTTTTCTTTATATTTTCTAGACTATGGGTTCACACGTGGGCATGTGGTGACAATTCATGAAAGCTGCTTCAAAAAATGCAGGTGTCTCCTCTCAGTCACTCTGAGATGGAAGTATCTGAATAGCATCATGCTCTGCCCTTCCAGCACATATGTGTTTGATCCTTCCCCTTTCCTAGGTGAGCATTCTGGCAGGTGCTAGCTAAACAAGGTGAGTATTTCTGTATCTTTCTCCAAAGTGGCAAAGTGACAGGCACATGGGGGACTGCCAACTCCCCTCCCCACTTTTTGTGTCCCTGTAAATGTTGTGAAACTCAATGGTCCTTGTGTCCTTCAAAAAGATGCTGTTCCTATGCCCCAAGGGTCTGATTATGAGAGCAAATAAAGGCTTACTCTCTCAAAACCTTCCTATCCTGCTCATCTCTGCTTGGAAAAATTGGCGGATATGTTCCCTGTACCTTCATTTGTGTTTCTGCACTGCTTGGAAGCCCACGAAGGAACCCTCAGCATGGTCCTTGCCTCACAGCATGCAGAACGTTCCCCTTCAGCAGCCACGGTGTAGCCTCTGGAGGACACAATGCTGCCCCATGCCTTTGGTGCCTGTGCTGTGCTGCCTGTACGACGGGGCCTTCAGGCCTGTGCTGCCCTGCACAGAACCCAAGCTCCTCCTTACAGAGTAGACCACAGGCAGCTCCCACCCAGGACCTGAGGTAACACAGCTTATGCGGCCCTGCCCTTACTGAACAGCACAGAAAGACATTCCCTTGCAAACACTGTTTCTGTTTGACTGAAGATATGCTAAATGGAGCTGTTACCTTATACAATAATTTTACAATACCTTAAAAGATTGAAAGGGGACAATCTCTGCTCTGAACCACATCTCCGTGAAATGGGAAAATGCTTCTTTGCTTGGGGTTCTCAGTATCTAAAGGGATATGAGATTAGTGTTAGCTATAATACATGGCACTTTTAGATACCTTACAAAATATGAATGCTTTTCTTACTGGGATCAAAATGAATCACCACCTCCTAGTTAAAAAAATTTAGTATACTCAGCAGGTCTCAGCAAGAAATACCTTTCTGCAGAAGGAGCAATGAAGAAAAGAGAAACTGTGCCTGGCTAGCCCTGCATAAATCTGTGAGGAGTACCTGTAAGGTTTCTAGCCTAGGTCATTTCCAGAGTTCAGTGAAAGCAAAAGCTGAGAGTTTATGCTGTCTTTGGGTGGCATTAAAGTGCTCAAAAGAGACACGGGGGTGCTTGCAAACATTGCAGGCTGCATGAGCTCCTGGTGCAGCACAGCCCCAAGCAGCAAAGCTGCAGTGCTGGTGCCTGTGATTGCACATAGAGCACACAGAGCAACCCAGGAAGGGCACTGAGACACAAGATATTTACCAGGAACATAAACGGTGGAGTAAGGATGGCTGACCCTCTGGTGAGGATGGATAGACAGGGTCAGAGGATGAGATTGGCAACAGCATTTCTGTCCAGCCACTAGTGCTTCACAGAGCCAAGAGGCCCCAAGGGCATCTCAGTATGATCTTGTGCAATTTTACACAGCTCAACTTTCAAGATTTAGCAAAAGCGTACAGGCAAAAGAGGGAGGAATGGCTGGCAGTGTTGCAAGTGTGGGATCTTGGAGGATATAGTGTACACTTAACTCCCGAACAGTTAAGAGTATATGCATGCCATCTTGCAAAACCTGGATAACACAACAGCTCAGAGGAGCATAGTGTAATGCACCCTGCTCACTGTGGGTATATCTTCAGGAAGCTTTAAAGACAGAGTATCTCTCACCTGCTGACTGCTATGATAAAATAGCATTGTGGAAAATGTTTCAACGGTTTGCCAGTATTTATGGGAACTGACCACACAGCCAGGCATATATTCATGTAACTTGATAGGTCCTAAAATGAAACTTTTTTCACTCAGCACAAAAAACCCCAAACATATAGGAGGGTACTCCACTTGCTTTGAAAGGACCAATAATTTCATTGCTAAGGGCTGCTGTGGGGAAAACAGTGGGGGAAGATATTTTATCTCTATTATTTGACTGAAAAGGAAGCAAGCGAGCCTGAAGCATTTCAAAAGCAACAAATCATGTTTGCTTGAGAAACTCTTACTGCATCATTCAGTACGGGCAGGGCCACATAGTGGGTGTAATTGCTCAAACTGAGTGGGAGCTGCCTGCAGAACCCACTTTTAGGAAGAGTAAATGTGTGACCAAGGGATTTTCACAACACAACACGAGTGTGCAGGCCACACCATATAATGCAGAATAGCCCAGCAAAGGCACACAGAGTGGTGACCATCACCAAATATGCCTATGAACAGTATTTCCTGCATGCAGCTGAGCAGATTTTAAATTATTTAAAATACTGTGAAAACATGATGATTTAGAGGGCTACAAGGAAGTTCACAACCTTCCTGAAGTTACCTATGGTGTAGTAACATGGCTGATGAAAAGAAGATAATCAATTCTCTTCTGTAGGCACTCAGCCCTGCAGAATTGCTCCTAGAGCTAATACTTAATCAGAACATTTGATTTCTCTACCCATGACAAAGCCCTTCTACCCCCAGACGAGATGCAGAGACTTGAACTGCTGATTCGTATCTAGCAGAGAGAAGGCAAGACCAAGACAGAACATTTTCTAAACAAGTATACTTTTATTTTGTGAAAAAATAAGAGTTAGACTTTTGCCAGAGGCTTCTTCGTAGTC